CAGTGGGCATATTCAATACTTCTGTAATAGTATTTATTATTTTCATATTATACCAATCATTGTAAAAATATGATTTACAGTTCTGGCATCACTTCTATTGCTGAGAATTCCAGGCTAGGACTCCCTGATTTGTATTTTATTTTTTATTATTTCAAAACGTTTGAATATTTTATTCTTCCAATAAGTAAACAGTGGGCATATTCAATACTTCTGTAATAGTATTTATTATTTTCATATTATACCAATCATTGTAAAAATATGATTTACAGTTCTGGCATCACTTCTATTGCTGAGAATTCCAGGCTAGGACTCCCTGATTTGTATTTTATTTTTTATTATTTCAAAACGTTTGAATATTTTATTCTTCCAATAAGTACATAATCTAGAATTGTACTGAGGCAACATCTTAGGAAGGCAACATAACTCTTCTCCATGTTCAAATTTCAACAAGGAAGTATAGCATGAAAAAGGCAAAGAATCTGAACAGACATCTTCCCAAACAATTGCAATGTCTTAAAAAGACACGTATTTAAGGTAGTGATAAGAATCCAATCGCATTCTAGAAAAAGAATATAGCACTCCTTCTAAGCAGTTAAAAACAATCTTTGGCGATGGAAACTACGCAGCAGCAGGATACGACCTTATGACAGAAGGATGTACTCGACTTTGCTTCTAAGGCAGCACATCTTATCATGGAGTTGCTTTAGATCTGGAAATCAATACCTAGCTGAGCTCTCCACAAGTAGCTGGAATTCTCCCCTCCGTTGGGTACGAGAAATAGCAGCCTGCCTCTTTCACCGGGAGCAAGTTAAACCCACGCGGTGCCCTACTGGAGCCATGCTGCCGATTAGCAAGGCGGACGCCCCGCGAATGACCCGCTGGCTCCTCCTCAAAACCACGTGGTAGAAAAGCATCTCGGTTTCGTCAAAGCTTTCCACGGAATCCCACCTACCGCACAGTACAAAAAGGGCCTGACGATCCCGCCCACATCCAGCCGTTTTTCAATAGATTAGTGTATTTAATCGCACTTCCTCGGTTTCCGCAATCGTCTGTTCAATGCTCGAGGAATCTGGTACTGGCCTCCATTTCCCAGCGTGCCTTACAGACAATCTCGCTGTCGTTCGGGAATTGTAGTCTTTAAGTGGACGGAAGGCTCGGTATCGCATGCTAGCATCCAGACGTTGAAAATGTACACAACAAAAAAGGCACATTTCTACCTTTGCCTGTGGCATATCTTGATTTTATTGTAATTTCTTTGATTGTTGTGAGCCTCCCGGAATCGCTGAGAGTCGGGCAGCATACAAGTTTAAGGAATTATTATTATATCTGTAATGCAGATAAAGAGACTTTTCAGGCATTAGGATTATGAGAAAGTTGTACATTTTATCAAATTTGATAGAGATGCAACTTAAAGTTCGCATTCTGTAGGAGAATAAACTGAATTATTAATTACTTATTGGAAACAGTTACATATTCACTGACATGTGATGGGGGGATGCTGGAAACAGTAGAAAAGGTCATCAAATCGGTGACAATCGTGGGCATCAAAAAGAGGGATCGTGAGCCTTAATTATGAATAACTGTGTATGTGCTGTCAATAGTCTTTTAATATTGCTTCAGGTAGTGTCCAGGGGAAGTCTTGCACGCCTTCTTCCAGTATGACAGCCTGATCCTTCTGCCAATTTATACGGACTACAATGGACCCTTAAAAAAAAGGCGCTCTAGGGATCCAGAGGGAAATGGGGTATGGCTGCAAAAGACCTCTGAGAAAGCGAAGCGCAGACCGCAAATGCTTATGCCCTGAACGACTCTGGTGTTGAAGTAAGCAGCAACGCGTGCGGCAAAACCTTTGTGGAATACCGTTTTCCTACATTAACAAATCTAGCCGGAGAGGCAGCGGGTCGCGGCTTCGACGAGCAATACGGCCTCGAGGTGCAGTCATGCCTCGGCGCCGCTGATGCGCCCTGTAATGGGGCGGGCAGCGAGAAACGTTCCTCTTAACTGATGCAGGAAACGTGTTTAGTGTTCGCGGAAACAGAAACTCGAGCGAAGGGCATACCCTCGTCGTCTTCGCCGCAGACTCCAAAAGCGAGGCCAGGCCTGGAGCCCACCGAAGGCGGGCTGCCTCTGCCGAGCTGGCCCAGCAAGGGCGGCAGCGGCTCAGCAGCGGAGCGGGGACCCGGGGACCCCCTGGCCCGCCCCGCCGAAGCGCCAGGCGGGAGCACTTGCCGCCAGAGCCTCTGACTCCCCTGCACGTCGACACACACGCGTGCACAC